AGTTAAATAATTTCGGAGCAAACAAAGAAGACCCAAACCACAGAACAGAAAGACACCCAAACCAGTCCCTTGACATCACTGATAAAAATGGGGTTTCTTCATTGCTTTTTGTTATAATTTCTGTTGGGCCACTTTTTCTTTCTTAAAATACAGGTATGCTAATGATTGCAACCGCATCTGCCTACAGGACTATTTTGGCCTGCAGCTAGCATCAAAGCTAGCTTCAAGCATTGACTATCTAAACCAAGATGATGGTAACGAGCTGCTGTGACAACTAGAGGTGTAGTGAGAATGCAATTGCACATACATACATGTAGATCTGTGCAGAAAGTCCAGTGCTGTCAAAACTCGGGCTGACTTCACAGATGTGGGTGAACTGTACTGTGTATGTGTAGGTTGTCACAAGGGAAGAGGCAGTGCAGTCCCCAGATACCTCTGAAAAGAGGTGGTGAGGTCTGCTGTGCCAGGAAGGTTCAATAGCTCTTAGTGAAAGATGCTGTAATTTTACCTCACTCCTCTAATTTTGTTGTTTCCTTAGACTGCATCCATGGAGCACATTCAGGGAGCTTGGAAGACTATCAGTAATGGTTTTGGACTCAAGGATTCTGTCTTTGATGGCCCAAACTGCATTTCACCAACCATTGTCCAGCAGTTTGGTTATCAGCGCCGAGCATCTGATGATGGCAAAATATCAGATACTTCTAAAACCAGTAATACCATTCGAGTTTTCTTGCCCAACAAGCAACGTACAGTGGTAAGTCTGTGTTACCTTGATGGAAGAATTGTGGTGCATTGCTAACGCTATGACGTTTATTTTTACTATAGAAATGACAAGCTTCACGAGACCTTACTTGTGTTTTTGAATATGGTGTCATCAATTTTCCAATTCTTGAGGACACACGTTGTAAGCTGTGTGGCTGTATTTTGAGACCTAGTATTTCTCTACCACGCTGCTGCATTTTTCCATTGTGCATGAGCACAGTCATTTCTATCACTGTTTTATTCACTTGAAGTATGCCCACAGGGAGGCATGGTAATTGGTGTTCCCTCAAGAAGCTTCACTTCTATGAGATTTCCCAGAGCTGAAGACACCAGTAATAACTAAAATCTTGATCAGAGCTCTCTAGAATCTAAATTCTTTTTTTTTTTTTAAACTTAGTATTTCCATTTGCCTGCATTTCTGTTGTTTTTGTAGCCTACCTGTGTATATGAGCTTTGTACAGATTTGGTTTACAAGAAACTTAGTAGCTATAAGAAATGAAAGTAATAAAATGGCCTTAAAACTTCCTTTGCCTAAGTGCACGATAGCAGAAAACATGCCTGCCTGACAGGTTGGCTTAATGTGCAGTGACTTGAATTGGAGGGCACAGAAGTTTGTTGTTACATAATTTGGACAGTTATTTATTTATTTATTTGTTAATTTTAAAAGTCATCAGTTGCAGAAAAGGGTTGAGGCATAATACTTTCCTTTTCTCCAAAGAAGCTTAAATGAACTGTACCGTCATGCAGTGCATTTCTTCTTCCTTTGGACACAGGTTAATGTGCGAAATGGGATGACCTTACATGATTGTCTCATGAAGGCACTTAAAGTAAGAGGTCTGCAGCCAGAATGCTGTGCAGTTTTTCGTCTTGTTACTGAACCAAAAGGGTAAGAGTCCATAATGTTATGCATGAAACTGTCAACTAGAGAATTTAAAAATCTTGTTTCTAGAGTAGTGGCAGTAATGCTTTCTTTCCCTTTTTTGCTAATTTCTTTTGAAAATGCAGACTGTGAACACTTTCGTGTTGCTTTCTTTACCCTCTGCTAGCGCAAATCCTTAAGCTTCCTGGGTATTTCTTTTCTTTAACATTTTCTAAGTATTAAATGAGGAATGAGGGCTACATGCCAAGTGCTTGTTGCATCTTTTTCTCATACTCTCGTTGAAATGATGTGATATGCCTTCATATCTGAGGTGCAGTTCTCATTCTGCGTTTGTAGTTCATAAACCAAGTTGACTGAAGATCTCCTCTGTGCTCAATTTTAAGGCCCTGCATTCCTCTACACATTTTCAATATTTGGACTTAAAATCTCACTTCAGGTATTCCTTATTTTTTGTAGGACCGGGGATGCTGCTATTAAATACCAAATGATTCTTTTACAAGCTGAGGGAGTGAAGGTATCTCATGGAGTTAATACGTTTAACTTCACACCTCGAAAGGCGTGGGCTTAATGCTCCTTTAAGCCTCAGTCACAAGGCGATCATTTGTGGTTTCACAGCTCTGTATAACTGAGTCCATTCTGAGGTCACAAGTAACTTCAGTGCTGAAGCATGTAATACAGCTTTCATGTCACTAAGTCATAATTCATAATTTCTTGTTTTGTTTTTGTAGCTCCTAAGTTGATTACTTCAAATAATCCATATATTCAAATGACTTGTTTAAAACAAACAAAAAGAGTTAATTGCTATGCCTTAAAGTCAGTTGTATTTTTAAGGTAAAGATATTGAACTGCAGATCATTATAAGAGGTTAGCTGTGCTTTTCTGTTTGTTTTCAGTTGACTCAAGAAAGCTCACAAAACATAGATCACTGATTAGATGCAACTTCTTACCTCCTAAGTAAATCTGGCCTGCCCACTTTTTCTTTCTTTCAGTAAAAAAGTGCGCTTGGATTGGAACACTGATGCTGCCTCCTTGATTGGTGAAGAACTGCAGGTGGACTTTCTTGATCACGTTCCACTCACTACACACAATTTTGTAAGCTTCTCTCCTCTTGCATATTTTGAAATACATGTTATTAGTTGAATTGCATATTCAGTCACGGGATGTTACAGGCATATAGAGGCCTTCTAGCTCTGTAAACATGGGGGTTGGAATTTCAGAAGTAATGATTTGTTTTTTCCTCCCCACTGCTCCCCGTTAATTAAATTGGCTAAATATCAATTGTCAATGGAGTGTCAGAATTTTATTTATATTCACGGTTTCTAGATGTCAGAGACTTTAGAAGCTTACCTTTACACCATCAGCACCCTGATCAACATTTCTATTAGTTGAGATTATATAAGGATATATTTCTGTAACTATTATATTAAGATATCAGGTCTTTAGAGTTCAGAACTGGGAGGCAACTTGCATTTTCAGTGTTTATCTGATTAAATTAAAAAAAACACTGGATAAGCTCAGCAGCCTTATGGTTCTGTTGGCAATTGTACTGAATATGTAAAGGTGTTGTCAGTTCTGTGAGGTTTTGAGGTTGCTCTGAGAGCTGATGCTGCCTGGTAAATTGACAGTCTTTTGGGGAGGGGGAAAATATAAGATTTGCTCAAAATAGAGCAAATTAATAGAGCTAATAAATTAATAATAAAAACTTTTAGGCCTTCACATGTGTAGAGGAAGAAGCAATCAAGGTTACAGATAAGTAGATGATGGAGGCTGTTACTTTGTTAATTTAAACAGCCATAGTGTCCAACTGTTAGAGAGTTTCACCTTCTGTTCTTTTGTTTTCCATGTGAATCAACTGTTTCTGCTTTGTAGCCTGTTGTTTTGCTCCAGAAGTATATTGTACAAAGTGATTATCACTTACCAGTTAGAAAGCCTAGGATTGATTTGCAGTAACTGAAAATAGCTTTGCTTATACTTAGCAGTATTAGAAAAATACAAATAAAATTGTTTGCAATTTGTGACAAAGCCTAGTATTTTGTTCCAGAACCGGAGGAAATTCAGACTTGCAGCTGTTGTGTATGGTAGAGTTCCATTGTAGGAGGAAAGCCTTTCATCCATTCATTTTAATGTCTTTTCTTCGGATTTCAGAAGCTTTAAAAATGTTGGATGTCATTTTGAAAAATGGCATTTCCTTAAACTGCTTTATATCCTAAGGAAAGGATTTCTTATGTTAGGGTTATTGGTTACCTATGGGCTCACAACAGATACTGTGATGAATAAAGAAAAAGGCATGGTTCTTAGGATCTGATCCTCCTTCACTTCTGACGATACCAACTAGACAGAAAACAAAAAAACCAATTCCCACCCATCTCTGTCACCTTACCAAGTGCAAGATGTTGCTTTTGAGTCTGATGGAACAGATTTGTGCCTTTTTCTTTTCATTTTAAATGATTGGGCAGGCAGTGCCCTAATTATTTGTAAGCTTTTCCAGGTTTACAGCCAAACAAGAAATACACACAAGAAAACTTGTGTAACTTTACGTTCAGTAACATCTTGGGGGCACTGGGAACATTTTATCATTGCTTTTATTTATGTCAAGCTCTAAAGATGTTCATCTCAGCTAATTAAGAGAATGTTGGATTGATGATTACATGCATTTTCTAGGCTCGGAAGACATTTCTAAAGCTTGCTTTCTGTGACATCTGCCAGAAGTTCCTCCTAAATGGGTTTCGGTGTCAGACGTGCGGTTATAAATTCCACGAGCACTGCAGCACTAAAGTTCCAACCATGTGTGTCGACTGGAGCAATATCAGGCAACTCTTGTAAGGACTGTTCCTTTCTAATAGCAGTAGTGGCTCTCTTGGGCTCTGGTGGTTGTTCTTTGTTTTTAAAATCTCACCGTAGAGATGATTTGGATCTTTGGGAGGTATAATCATGTTCACCAGTTTACAGAACACATGTATTGATTCCATAAAGCAGCCAGCAATGACTGTCTGTTCCCAGGAGAAGAAGGCCAATGGCATGCATTTTGTTAGTGCTGTGAATTTCAGCATTCTCAGACAAACAAATGAATGTATTGAATGAGCAGGCAGGTGCTATAGTGCCCTTCTGATTCAGCGTGGGAAGGCATCCTAATTCCTCTTTTATAATACTTCAGTTATAAAAAAAAAATTCACGACTCGGTGGTTTTACCTGTTGGAAAGATGAATGTTTCAGGAGTGTCAGTGCTTTTGATAGGCCACCAAAGAGGAATGGAATGGTGAGAAAACTGATGAAGGATAATACTTAGAAAATATTGATTAGAAAAAGTTGAAAATCGCTGTTAGAAGTCCTTATATGCATAACAATTGAAACCTATGAATATGTTTGTATCTTTATTAGTGATTGTGTTATTATTTTTTTTAATAACTGAACTTGGACATGCAGTTATTCTGATAGCAATCAGAATTTAGGATAATTGCGTCACTTGATGCTACCAGAGTTCAATAAAAATTAAAAAATGTTACTTTCAAATATCCTGTTGAGAAAGTCTGAAGTATTGCAAATTTGCATCTGAAGTCTTAATTTTATTAAGAACACGTGAAAATTCTCCGTGAGAGTCCGATGATGTAGTTTTTAGTTGTACCATGCAGAGAACAAGCGGTATGCAAATACAGGAACTGGGGACGTGTTCATGCAGAGCAAAAGTCCTTTAAATTCTCAGTTTTAAGAGCATTGTACAGGAGGTAGTGTAGCAGTTGAAATTGTAATTGTTTTTGTTGATATTTCAGATTGTTCCCAAATTCAAATATCAGTGACAGTGGTGTCCCTGCACTACCTCCCTTGACAATGAGACGGATGCGGGAGTCTGTCTCCCGGATACCTGTTAGGTAAGCTAGTATTTCCTGTCATTTCTCTTTTGGGAAATACACTTGTTTAAAAACAAAAAAATCCACACTCCCAACTCCTTGAAAGTAGAAGAATATAGAAGGTTGAGATAAATGTGCAAGAAGGCAACAGCCTACATAGAAAATATCTAGCGTCATTTCTTACAGCTTCAAGCAAAGCATCAATTCTGGAATTTCTGTTTTTAAGTTTTAGTCTAAAGATTTTAAGTGAGGATATTAAAAGTTTTGTGGAGACCTCTGTTTACCTGCCTAAGAAGAATTGATATTGTGTGTTATTTTGTCTGATCATGTAGCATACATGTAAGGGTTTATAGCTTGCTTTTTTTTTGCTTGAGTCACATGCATAAACTGAAATAACATCTTGAATTGTGACTATAGGTAAGAGATTAAAGAGAGCAGTGGAAATAGAAAATAGGCTCACTTTACAGAAAGTCCTGAGGCCTGATTACTAAGAACATTCCTGTAGCCTTAATGCTAGAATATAAATCACTTTCCTTCCAAAGCAGCCTGTCTTCTGATGATAATTTGTGCCTGTATTCTTTTCCTTGAAATTCTAGAGGCTGGAGAGGACAGGCCATCTTGTTTTTTCTCCATCCCTTTGAAAAATGTTGACCTGTTCAGGAATGAGGCACACAGCACGTAGCTGACTTGCAAATGGTCCTATTTATTTATTTATTTTACTGGGAACTACATCAGAAATTGATCTTGCGTTCATTTTCTTTGCCAAGTTATTCTATTTCTAGTGTTGCTGCACAATGACTTAGTGATTAGTTAGCTGGTTGTTTTTGTGAAGGCTGTCTGGTTTTGGTTAAGCTACTTTTGTTATTTGGGATAAGTGAAGTTTGATTAAGGTTAGCTGTGATTTATAATTCTTTGCTGAACTGGATTTTACTGTTGGCCTCCTACTAACTGCTGTTGGGCTTCATGACTTCCTTGCTGGCTGTTCTGTGTGAGAAGTTGAACAGTCTTGCAAACTTCAAAAACTCAGGGCTTAGCAATAAAAAAAGTATCTTTCAGGCTATTCATTTAATAAGCTTGAAATGAGAGTTTAAATTTAACTGCTTGAATTAATTAATCCAACAGAGCCTGTAATTCATCAATATATTAAATATAATTTAATGGGGACTGAGGTGAACTGTGGCACATTTTATAATGGCAGAAGTACACTTAAACATGTTAGATCCGTGTGCCAAGTTCTTAAATTTATTTCCTAAGTTAAAGTGTAAATGGTTTGGCTGACCAAATAGTTTAGTTAGCATATAAATCCCAACATTTCCCACGTTTGAAATTTTGTGTGTATTACTGCTTTTGGTAGACTACACTGAAGAATATTTTTCTGACTGCTAGAGGGGAGAGAGGAAAAAAAATAACCACAAGTTTCTCTCTTTTCTTTTAGCTCCCAGCACAGGTATTCTACACCTCATGTCTTTACATTCAACACATCAAATCCTTCCTCTGAGGGCACCCTTTCCCAAAGACAGCGATCTACATCCACACCAAATGTCCACATGGTTAGCACTACAATGCCCGTGGACAGCCGGATAATTGAGGTAATACTGATGGGGGTGGATTGTCATTCAGTTACTCTGGATTTGTGACTGGCTATCTAATAGTCACTGGTTGGTGCTTTTTCTTTTTCTGTAATTCATGTACTGTTTTCCTTAACAGGCTGTGATAAGAATATATAGATGGCACATCTGCCTAGAAAGTTAATAGCTCATTCTGACAGTCTTTATCAACTTCAGTTGAGTTCTAGGTAGATTTCAATGTCTTTGAAGTCGTGAGGGAGGCTTAACAAGTAAGTTTCGCAGATGTGAAAAGGGAACAATTTCAGCTTGTCTGAACATATGTGTTATTTGAGATATTTAAGAATGTTCTTTGAAACTTAAAGATCTGGACTGGGGGAGGGGGACCGATGGTTGTTTAAAAAGAGACTAGAGGTGGAAGTCTGGTTGCAATACTCAGAGTCTGAATGCTTAAATCAAAGCTTACTGCCAGGAGCTGTGTTATACCCTTATAGAACTGTGGATCCTAGGAAAGCCACCTGTATCTGAAAATACTTCTGCTGTTACTTGATTGCAGTAATCCCTTTATTTATTAATCTATTTTTCCCCTTAGTTTGGATCCTTACACTGGAAACAGTGAAAGGTTTTGGAAGTGAAGTCTAAAGGATCCTGTTTGTTTGTGTAAGGGAATGATTTACAGGAAAGGCTTGCAGAAACAAAGTGATGAACAGCAGGACTTCAGAGAGCACCGTTTTTCCCTCTGCCCCTCCTGGAATAAGTTAAAATAAGTTAAAAAGTCCTTGGCCAAACAAAATCCTTTGACTTCTGAGTTTACTTGCTTATTGCTTCAGCTGGTAGCTTGTAGGCTTCTATGAAATGTAAAGACTCTCCTAAATGTGCCAGAGAACTGCTCTGCATCTTCAGTGAGGTGAAATGAAGTACGCTGCAACCCTGTGACAATTTCTTGGTTAGAAGCATTGGTTAGAAGCTGGATTTCGTGGGGAGAGGCACCATTCCTTACAGGCTAAAATTGTCTGCTCCTCGCCCCCCCTCCCATGGAGGCTTTGAACCTACTGTCTTCTATGGCACAAAAACAAAATGAAGCCTTACGGAAAGAGAATATGAATTATTAGGCTTAGTGGTGTGGTAAGGGTTTGAGATACTGCTTTCTTTATTCTTTATGCTTAGTGGTAGAGAAAGAAATGCTTTCTGTTCTGCCTATCATAGCGGATCGAATAAAAATAGCTGCCCTGTCTTAGAGGCAGTAGCTGCTTCTTCAGTAGGCTTTAAACAACCAGACACAGGTAGTGAGCACCTTTAGGAATGATACGAAAAAAGTCACCTTATTCAGACTGATTAATCACCTTATTTCTCCTGTAATTTTTTTTTGCTGGAACAGGAATAGTTATTTAAGTTTCACTGCATTATCATATGCCAAACAACTTTGGTTACTTTTTCTTTCATTTATCCTAATTTCAGTTTTAATTTTTTTATACTTCCTCTTTCTGTTATCTCTTACCCTGTTGGCATAGAATAACAGCCTGAATGCTTCTCCCAGTTCCTGGTGCAGACGATTTTGTTTGAGGGGAAGAGTAGGTATTTTCTTGGTGCCTTTTGTTTTCTTGTGATTAACAGGATTGCTGTAACTTGTAAGCTATGGCAGTGTCCACATGAAGTGTTTAATCTGGAGCTGATTTAATGAAAGTCTTTATAGCATGTTTGTACATAAATATCGAGGACAACACTTAGAAGAGGCAAATTGATAAGAGTTCAATTTCAGTTAAGCTGGGTGAAACCATACTGCTGTGATATTTGTTATGCATTAGAAACAGGCTTGGATTAGGGATCTGCTCGGTCACACAGCTTTTGAGTTATAAAACATTCTCAGGTTCATCTGTGTGTGACGGTCTTCCTCTGGAAACTATTTTGTTAAATTTAACTGTGCAAAACTGTGGATTACGAATACGATGCACTTCACATCAGAGCAAAGGTGGCAGAATGCAGCACTGCTGTGTGGTGTCATTTGTGTTGCAAGAAAAACTGTGAAGAATGCTTTTTGGGGTGTATTTGCTATAGGAGCCATAAGAAAAAAGAAAATATATTCAAACCAGAACTGAAGTTCAACAAAGATACTTTTTTTTTTTCCTCAGGTAGCAATTCCTTAAGAATTAAATATGAGAGAAATTGAAGATTATTTAATGGTTCTTTGCCAGCTTGCTTGAAAGAAGTTACATTCTCAGGCCAGTGTAGAAAAACACCACTTGTTATTAATGCAGATTCTTAAAAAGACTTACAGTCCTCAAACTGGACAAAGGTAGTAATTTGCAAGAGTTCTCTGGTAGTTTATGCAGATTTTAACTCACTCAGGCACAGAGTAGAGGAATTCTGCAAGAATATGCTAGTTGGAATTCAAGCCTGGGAGAACACAGCTAACTAGCAACAATGATGTATTCCATAAATGAATCATTAGTAAGGAAATTCTGGGCTAATTTGAAAGCCATTCAATGGAATATAGGCCTGTCCTGTCCTCCTATGAAGTCTTGCATTTATTATTCTACTAATTAGTCAGAAAGTTTGAATTGACTTCTATTAACTTTTACAGTATTTAACATTTCTGTAGTGCATGTTCTTGCTTTGTACTTATACAGTACCTGGATATTTTACGTTTCCTGTATGTACTTTGGGATAATGCATAGCAGGTGAGAAAAGTTGTATAGTCATGTTTGTCAGAGCTTAGTTTATCTTGTGCATGGCTGTAGAGTTGTGTCGTAAAGTGCCTGTGGCATGAGGTGAGAGTTGTTGCACTGTCCCGAGTAGTGAGCTGTGTAAGAACATGCTTTTCAACCATCATCAAACTTCTGTGGAAAGCACTCGTTTTGAAATGGAAATGTTTTTGTGTTAGAGCACAAGATGTAGTCTATTATGTGTTGAAATACCTCTACCATATTGTTTCTAAATGCTTATTGACCTGGAATATTTTAGGGGCTTTTAAAAGTTTTCCTACTTTAAAGTCCAGAACCTTTTTTACATGATTGTCCCCTGGAGATGCAGGGCCATCACAGGAGCTATGTTCAGATCAAACAAGCATGAACAACAATGGAGGGGTGGGAATGGAGACAGTATTTCTCATGTTTATTCATGTTTATTCTTGTTCCATGTTTTTCTTCCCCCCCCCCCCTTTTTTTGTAGTAATTTTAATATGCTGTGAATATTTTTAATGTGCTGTAAGAATTTGCCAGCTGCATGGGTTGTTCTGGTTGTTTTTTTTTTTGTTTTTTTTTTTTAAAGCAAATAGGATTCTTGTAACCAAGCTGCCATCTTTTAAAGGGACTTGGTCAGTCGTGTATGACACTTGGTTTAAACTGTCGAGAACTATTTCAACACATTTATTTCTGCTTGTTTATTTGCTCACTGTCACATACTTTATTAACTATGTTGATATTTTCTCTGTTTTAGGATGCAATTCGAAACCATAGTGAATCAGGTATGGCTTCCAAAAATCAAGTATTGCAATTGTATTTTGTGTTTATTTCATGGCTTGTAACTTCTTTTTCTTCTGTTTTCAATATAAGCTTCACCCTCTGCTCTGTCTGGAAGTCCCAACAATATGAGCCCGACTGGCTGGTCTCAGCCCAAAACCCCAGTCCCAGCCCAGAGAGAGAGAGCCCCTGGGACAAATACACAAGAAAAAAACAAAATTGTAAGTGTTTTCGAACCACTGTGTGTAAATACTTTCAGTGTGTTAAAGTGGGGTGAAATTAATGGAGTGCTGGGATAAAGATCTGTACTTGAAAGTCAACGAAAGCTGATGGAAATCTTCGTTGATTGCTCTGCACTGAATGTGTAACAGTGATGTAAATCCAACTTGGGAAAGACAGCAGTACTGCCTTATGATTTCAGTACCTGGAAAAGCGTTTGGATTTAAAAATTAATTTCAGACAGAGTTCTGACATTATTTTTCAGTATAGATTCAAGGCTTACATTTCTAAATATTTAGGGGCTGCATCTTTTTATTCTTTTTAATATCTTTAACCTCCTTACTGCTTTTTGAATTGCACTGCCATGGTTTTCATAGAAAATGCATATGCCATCATATTGGTAACAAAGTTGGTTAAAGAGTCTTGGAAAAGTCAATTTAACAAAATGGCAACTTTTCCTCAAAGCTTTGATTTTAAACATAGAAAAAGACAGAAATAACAGTGAATAGTGTCTGGATTTTTTTTTTAAGTTATTCTATTTTTTAAAAGTACATTTGCTCAGTGGGACTCCCAGTTGTAAATCACATGGACGTTTGAAAGTTCTGCTCTCATATTTTTTTGTTCATTGTTTTCAAATCTATCAGAGTTCTGTAATTTGAGCATTGTGACTTTTTTTAAAGTAAGCTTCTTAAATATTTAAGATATCTTCAAATAATTCAAGAATCCCCAATTACTCATTCCTCTTGTGATCTCAGATCAGAGTTTGTATCTCTAGAGCAGAATTAATGACACCTTCATAAGCGCCTAAAGCCTTACACTGAAATGTTTGGCTTTCTTGTGTGGGGAAAAAGTAGCTAGGGAAATAATGAAATAGTTTTTTTTTCCTGAATGCTGTTAATAAAGTAAGTACCATATGTATTTAATATTTTCTTTTGTTGCAGAGGCCTCGTGGACAAAGAGATTCTAGTTATTACTGGGAAATAGAAGCAAGTGAAGTCATGCTTTCTACCAGAATAGGGTCAGGTTCTTTTGGAACTGTTTACAAGGGCAAATGGCATGGTAAGTTCTTCACAGCTATCACTGTCTTCTCAAAATGTTAGTACTGTAGAAGGACAATAATGCAGGAAAAAAAAAAAAGGTGTTTGAATGGTGCAGCTGTGTGATTATCTACCAGCAAAAGAACTAAGTGAGAAATACGGATTTCCTAATTTTTCCATTGAGAAAATTAAGGCACAGTGCCTGTGCTGAAATCTGAACCTCACAGCTGCTAATTCTGTCTCCATCCATACGCTGAATCCAGCATCATTATCACCACGTTGTAAATTTTCACAGCATTATGTTAAATTAAGTTTACTTTCCGTTTTTTATTTTGAATACCTGTCGTTTAATTAGCATACTTGTACTCGAGGTGGCAGGGAAAGGAAGTAAGTATAAATTGTTGTAATGGTGGAGTATTTCTAATTAAAGAAATGGTTGATGTGAGAGTTAATGAGAAAAAGTTGCCCAGGACTTTGAAAAGAGGCACACTGCAGGACTCCAGAATTAGGTCTAAATTTGGGGCGTCCGGTTTTAAACAGAAGCACAACTCCCTTCAGGCCCCAATCTAAAAATGAATGTGAGTTTCTTATTAATATGTTTCACCAGAATGTTTGCAACTACTCTTCATGTATCAAGAACTTTTTTGTTTTAAAGAGGAAATGCATGGAGCTACATAGTAACAAATGACCTTTAGTTGTGCACATAAAAGGACTGTACAGCTATCACAAATTCAGTGTAAATAGGATTCAGTATCACATTTAAGGTAACTGTACAGAGTTCTCCTGATTCCTGGGGAAAGCCAAGGTTAAATTGCCAAGCAATGACAGCTGGATCTGATTTTATAAACTAAATCGATGTTAGCAAATAATTGACACTTTTTTAATGGTACTGACTTTCTATTAAAGGTGAAATAGTGGGAGAGCTTTTTGTTTTATTTGTTTTTGTTTTGTTGCCATCATTTGTAGTATGGTCTTGAAAGATTGGAAACGGTTTCTAGTTTTTTCTGTTTAGAACTGAAGACACGGGGAGCTCATAGTGCACAAATGAACAAATTGTACACTTTTCTTTGTAGTAAGCTGTTGTAATAGTGTAAATGCAGCAACTAAAATCTCTTGGTGAAGTTGAAAGCATTGAAGTGGGGCAGATTGCTGCAAACTTAAACCGAATTTCTGGATTAGAATGGAGGTGTCAGACCTCCTAATATGCCCAGTGCTGAAGGGCTGTTTGAACCTTTGGAGAGCACCTATGGAGGGCCTGCTAGAGGATGTGTACAACTGTGTATAATCTGTATTAGGTTTCCAGTAAACTTCCTTGACTTAGCCTTCCCAAATAAAAATGAAGCGGATAGTGCCAAGGATGGTCTTGCTATGAGGAGTGCATGTCTTGTTGAATAGTCTTGCACTTCCATATTTTTCCAGATTGTTCTGATGGTTAAGTACTAATTTTAATATTTGCACCACTTCTGTTACAGACCTCATTTGGATCCTGTAGTGTCCTGTAGCATGCTTCTAAATTTAAAAGGAGGAAAGAAAACCAAGGCAGTTTAAATGGGTTGGAAGACTACCTATCATAAACACTCACATTTCCCCTTTGGCCCTGGTAATCAGCTCTAGGTTTTTGATGGTTGGGGGGTGGTGGAAGCTAATTGTCTTCAGATTGCTGCTAAACAAAACAAGTGCTATTGTTTATCTCTTTCTGTAGTGAAAACTGCTTGGAGAATGCCATTGAGCTTAGAAAGGTGTGGCACATGATTCAATAAAAACTTGGTTTTTATTAACTTGGTTAAAAACATCTCTTCATCAGTGGAGCAAGGATCATAATGGAGGCTATATTGAAAAACAGTTTGAAAACATTTGGCTTACAGTCAGTGGATGCTGCATCTTTGTGTTGGTATAGCTCCTAGCAAAATGCTTCTAATATTGACAGACCTTTTATTGGTCTTGCATTGTACATAAACAGTAGTTGCAGTAGGAACCGGCCCCTTTTAAGCCTGATTTGATCGTCATGTGAAACTGTTAGTCTTTCTGCCTCTTGTGTTGTACTGCTCTGATGTGTGAGCAGAGATCTCTTAAGTTATAAAAACAAAAAAAAACCCAACATCATCAAAAACAAACAAACCACCAGACCTCTGCATACTGAAAACATGAGATGGTTCCCTTTAGGAAGATGCTGAAGGATGAAATAGGAAGTGTGTGCATTTACTGAAGTTGAAGGAAAATATGAATGTATTAGAAAGTGTTCAGTGTTTGTGAACTTTCTGACTTCAAATTACACAGCAAACTAAACAGCTGGTAACTACAGTGGAAGATGCTGCAGTCTGTCAGAGCACTTTCTCTGAATCCTTCAGTACCATTTACATCTCCTTTCCAAACATTGTTTTCAATTGAGCTGTCAGTGTTGCTAATGAAATTAGTTGATGGTACAATTCTAGAGATGCACTAAGGTTTTTCAAGTCTGTTTTTGAAAAGAGAAGATAGTAAGAAGATGAGGTAATTGCAATAGCAGATAAATCTGTCCTCCTAGGGGTTTTTATCCTAATGTAAGCGATTATTCTGTAATGCTAAGTGGCAGCAGCCTTTATATTGTGGGATAAGCATAATTGGAAGTAGAAAGTCTCTGCATTTTCTCTTATGTGTGGACTAAGACTAAGTTTCAGTTTACTAACTCCTTTTACCTTCCTGTGGCAGCATCAGGGCAATTTTATCCACCTGTTGTAAATATTCCGACCATCCATAGTTAATGTGAATTTGGTGTTTGCCTCTTTCATGGAGGAACTGGTGGGTCTGGCTGTTCATGGTTACCTTTAGAACAGTCAGCTTCACTCTACTATCGTACCTTTTATAATCTGTTCCATTCTATTGTTTTCTAGATAGGGAAGCATGGTGTAAAATTAATGACTCTTACTGTTCTCTAATTCAGGTAAATTAGTTATGTGGTCCTGCAGAAGTATATGGTCTTGGTCTGTGCACAGATTACTAGGGGCATTCTGTGCACAAAGTTGGGTTTTTATGTGTACAATGTGGTAATGTGATTTTTGGGAAGAAACTGCATTGCTACTAACTTGAACTATAAATGTATTTTCAGGGGATGTAGCAGTGAAAATATTAAAAGTTGTAGATCCAACCCCAGAACAGTTCCAGGCTTTCAGAAATGAAGTGGCTGTATTAAGGTGAGTTTTGCAGTTTCTTTGCTAAATTTTGTTATTTGAAGCCACAGCATTTGCCTGCAGACTAAACTGCCTTGCTGAATAGTGTGTACTTAATGGGCAGCAAAAGCAGATCTCCAAAAAATAAAAATAAAAAAGAGCATACAGTGATGCTGGTAAATACTGTTGTAGAGCTGTGAGACAGCAGTGATAGTCAGTGGTTCTTCACTGAGATTTCTGGAAGTTTTTTCAGATAACTGATACTAACATCCACAATCCCTCAGGTCATGTTTGGCATATAGGAGAAAGTGAAGACCAATAAGTCCTTCTGTAATTCTCATGGCCGGGCAGAATACTGGAGCTGTACAGCTTTTTAAGCTTGCAACATAATTCCCTTTTTTTAATCTATTCTCTGATCCATGTATTTTGTTTTCAAGTACTGGTTTTGTAATGTCCAATTAAGTAACTGTAATTTTAAAAGGGAATCCTGGAATTGAACCTATATAGAAGAATTATATTTTTTTGTTCCCTTACAGTTTATCATGACCCTTTGGTTTCCTCTTGGGATTCAGTCATATTTTAAGCTGTCACTTTTTCAGCTTTCAAGGTCACTTCTGTTACTCCAGTCACTTCTGTTAATGCGAGCAGGATGTGGTTATTGATTTCAAAAACAATAATTCATTTCATGAGATTTTTTTTGTTCACTTTTGAAAGCTGAAATATGTCCCTTCAGACAAGAAGAACATTTTTCAAAAGAACACGAAAACATTTTCATAAAGATACTAATTTCTTTTTCTGCTACTTCTATTAGGAAGACTCGGCATGTTAATATTTTGCTCTTCATGGGCTACATGACTAAAGATAACCTGGCCATTGTCACACAGTGGTGTGAAGGCAGCAGTCTGTATAAACACCTGCACGTTCAAGAGACCAAGTTCCAGATGTTCCAGCTCATTGACATTGCTCGGCAGACAGCACAGGGAATGGAGTGAGTAGGATAAGCAGCAGTGTCTGTGCCTGTT